CAAATGGAGTTGTTTTTTTTCTTATCGAGTGTCGGTCGGGTCGGTGACGTCATAAAATTATTATTCTAATCCATTCCGTTAGACAATAATAAAATAAATATGAAAATAATCGTCCCAATAATAATTGTCGGGGAATATTGTCGTCAACATTAATAATTCAAAGTATCACAACGCATCACTGCACAGCCAGGTGCGTTTAATTACGTGTATAGGTATGCTGCAAGTGCGCGGCTGCAATAGTCATTATATTATTATTATTATTATTTTTTATGAAAATTACGCGAACACAAATTGCACTACGTACAAAAATACGCGAATACCTTTGTATACGTACGTTATTAAATTGCCTTGACAACAAAAAAAAAAAAAAAAAATTAAAAAATATGTAAAACGAAAATAATAATTATTATTGTGTAGGTATGTAGAACGTTATCGTCGTCGTCGTAACGTGTAATTGTTTGGGAAAGTAAAACACGAGTATATACTTTAATATAATTATATTGTTTGTCCTTAACCGCGGCACAGTTTTGTAAAAATATTATAATGTACTCGCCCGAGTGTTTTTTCCCCTCGATTATTATTACGGTGTCCGTTTTGAACGCACTGAATTTTACACGTGCGTTCGTTGTCAAACGTAACCCAATTTTGGGCTGTTTGTTTCATTATAAGAATGAATTTACCTATTAAATCGAACTTAAAGGTGAAATATTGTCAATGTTTGAATATCGGAATTTTTTTTAAATTTTTAAGTGAGTGTGTGAAATGTCACAATTTATTACTTATTATAATAATTAAAATAACAAAAACAAAAATCAACGTGCAAATTCATATTAGTATAATGTTCTTTCCATTAAGTTCGATAATAGATCAATTCATTATAGGTATAATTTTAAATCTAAAAGCACAAAAGCAGTTAGGCTGAATGCAAATTTGCTGTTGAAAATGTAAAAATGTACTTAGTCCTCTTAAGAGAACCGACACAGTGGACATTTTCCGTCTTTTATCTTTCTAACGGGCTGTAATAATATATAGCGAAAATATTATGTTCGCGCAAAAAACAAACTAATGGGCTTTTGTAAGACGTCGGTTTTAGAGATTAAACGTCTATTATTATACGACGACATTTTAAAGGCATTCACTAATTTTGGATTTTTTTTTAATGTTAATAGTTAAAAAAAATATAATTCGATTTACGTATTTAGATAAAATAAAATATGAGAAATACAATATTTTGTATCTCTGACAATGATAATATAGTTTAAATGTTTAAAATATTTAGATAATCGTATAACGCCGTGCCGTCTATACATTCTACAATAATATTAGTGTCTCTAAAACCGATTTCAAATTCATTTTTGTTTTACATGAATACGTGCACATTTTCGCTTTAATACAGCCCGTTATGGAAAGACTGAAAATGCCACTGTGACAACGACGGTTGGATCGATTATAATAAATTCTTTGGTAAAGAGTGAGAGGTGCGTAAAGTGCAGTAATTTTTTAAATTATTGCATCATGCGACCTCTGTAGTAGGTACTGTAATAAGCAATGGCCGATTTGGGGAAGGCAAAGTGGTGATCGCTCCCTACAATGGAGAATCCTTATATAATAGTACCTACATTAAACAATTTGTAGATCTTCGCTTTAAACGTGTTTATCAATACCTATGATACCAATTCACCCCCTCCCCCATTAAAAGAACTACTAGTAATATAGGGAGAGTTTTAAATGGCTAATTTAAATGAGTTATTCAGTTTATATGCTGTACGCAAATCAAAATAATTTTGGTCAAAATTGATTCTAAACAGGTGGGCTAGTATTAGTCGTGTTTTTTTTCATTTGTAACCAAGGTAACTCTGCAAAAATCAACAGACACAGACATATAAAACCATAATGTATCGACATTAATTTATTGTCGGTTATTTAAATTGTATAGACAATTGTTGGAATGAAAATTTCGAAACATTGTTCAAATAAAGTAACACCCTACCGAAAATCCTGAGTCTTTTCAGGTGCCGCGTGGAAAAATTCGAAAAATTTTACTCTCTCGAAAACCGTTAATGAAACAATATAATACCCGTATAGCTTCTTGGCTATGTACTGAGAATCTAAAAAAAAAATAAACCACGGCGCATATTTTGTTTTTCTCGTCTCTTTTTACATATAGTATAGTATCTACTTATAAAAAACAAATCACACGACGACCGACCGAGTCGATTATGAAATCTATTCACAAACATGTTGCCGCCGCTTTCGAAACGATTTGTTTTCGACGCATATTATATATATTATAGTGCCACCACCACCGTGTAGTAGTGTGCGATATACTCGAGAAGCGTAAAAAAAAAAAAAAAAAAAAAAAAAAAAAAAAAAAAAGCTCATTATATAATATATATAGAATATTCTCGAGTATACCGTCGAAACAACACGACTTGTTAGCATTCATCGGGAAAATGTATTATTATCCTTTACACACACAAACAACATTACACCGTTTCGAATCGATTGTCGAGCGCTGCTGAACACAACGTATAGGTAGGTACACGCATCAAACAGATCCTCAAAAACACAACAACCGAATTCTTCGAATATTGTCGTGTCGTCGTACAGTACACGGTCGAATCGGTCATTTCTCGTAGTAGCAACACGAAAAGGATATCAATATTTATATTTCATTCCTCGCCGTATCGTGTACAGCCAACAAGAGCGTGTTTATCGGCCGCGACCTATATGCGGTATTGTGTTTTACCTAAATAAGTATATTTTTTTCATCTTTTATCTAATATTGTTATCCATCGATAAACGATAAATAAATTAAACAAATATCACTTTTCCCCGGACGATAGGAAACATGACCTCAACGAGAAAAAGTGCCCGTTATAAAAATTTTAATTTTTAGTATCGATATGAATCAGCATGAGTTAATGACTCTGGACTACGACAGATAAGATTATCGACTTTTCTATCCCTAATGTGACCAACCCGACGAGGCTTTCAGCTTCTACCCCTATATACTTTTAATAACGTGATTTTCAACTAATACAGGATTACACTTTGAAAATTGACTTCCTTGGAGCAGTAACAGGTTCGGAGTTTGGACGATATTTGTATGCACCGGAGTAGGTATACCTGGATTTGATATTTCGGCAGATTTATGTAATTTCTCGTCATACGCGTATAAGTGCGTGTATCCCTGACTGATCTTATGATGAACTATCTAGTGTATCACTAAAGTTCCCAATGAATATTCGACGATGATGTTCATATATTAGGAAAGACTTCTCTGTATATGCCCCTAATGTCTATAAACCTTTTCCTAATCGCAATTTTGGTACTCTATTCTAGATCTATAAAAAATTTAGTTTCCGTTAGTCGTGAACTAGTAAAAAAAGGGCATGATGTGTCACATAATTTTAGGGCAAATATCATCAATTATTGGGGAAAATTATAATAACAAAACAAATTTTAAAAAATCAACAAACTTCGTATCATGGGTAGGCCACTTTTAAGTTGGGAAATAAGATATGATAAATGAGCGTCAACAAAAAACGTTTTTAAAAAATTTTAACATTAAATGTCGATAAAAATACATGACAACATTTTTAATTTTATTTTCATCTGCATAAAAGAAAAACCTCGATAATTTCAATTAGTGTAAAATAACACCACGTCTGGAAAGTGCGTGCTATATATAATACAAAATAATCAACGATATCTGTATATTGAATTGTTGTAAATAAATTATTTATAATCTTTTTACTAATAATCCTTTTCCTAATATAAATTCAAACCTATATTATATTAGAATCCGTCAAAAATCATAGGTATGCAACTTTCTGCACCGTTGTTTAACATGGCATTATATGTACCCACAGATTCGACGTATAACCCGAAAAATATCCCGTTAAAATCCTACTTATTGTATTTCTCAAAAAAATGGTCCAATTGTATGCAGTACCAGATTTAATAATATATAGGCCCGGCCGGCGACGACGTTAAAAGGCCGTTATAGTCACATTTGCCGACTCGTGTTTTTTGTAACGGGCGATATAACAACAAAATCGGTTATGTAATACAAACGAAAAGGACTTTAAAATCCGTTTTGAAAATAAATCCACCCGTATTTAAACGATTTATAGACGACAACACACTGAAGACACAACCTTGTTGGCGTTTTATAATTCTATTGATATTTTGCTCGTCATTATCGAAGGTAAAAAAAAAATCTTATTTATATATTTTTATTTTTAAATATCCATAATATTTAAAATAATTTTTATTTCAAATTAAACGACGATGAAGTCGTCTCTGAAATATAGTCGTCTACAAATTGTATATTAGACGTTTTATCTCTGAATTTTGTTTTTAATGGTTTTGATTTACGTGAACATATTTTAGATTCTAAGTGGAGCAAAGAAACTTATGGTTTTACAAAGATGGTTATTTTTTATTTTTATCTGTTAACAACTTTTCCACCAGAAGACTTGCTCGGATTTCTACGTGTAGCATCTTTTCTAAAAGGAAATCGGTTTGGGGAGGTACAACCAGGTCATTTTTCGATTTTTTTCAAGAGTTTTCTCATCAAATGCGAAAAATCGAAAAAAAAAATAGAAAAATTTACGAAATATAATAAATATAAATTACGATTTTTATTTTCTAGGGACATCTTTTCTCCCATTAATTTTACTCCAACTTTTAGTGATAGCAATTTTTTTTAAATAAAATTTCATTTGGCAGGTACTTTAGAGTGGTCATTTTTTTATTTTCTCAAGAGTTTTCTCATCAAATTTGAAAACCGAGGATAAAACATGGGAAAAACATAGAGAAATTGGGAAAATCGGTACAACATTAAACAAATATTGTTAAAAAAAATATTTAAAGCGTATTTAATTATTTTACTATAAAATGTCATATATATTGTTAAAAATGCATCACTATCAACTGAACTCCATTCAGAATCGTTTTTTTTTTGTAAGCAATGGCTTCTCGTTGTTTACAGGTATACATTAAATTATCTATAACAATGGCTGCACTAGTAGTACCCATTATCCTAGGATGTCTTTTTATTTTGATTACATATTGTCCTTTAGAAAGACAGAGAGACGACAAATTCCATAACTGTGCGGATCTCTTTAGGGACCTCCTATATATAATTTGTCTCATCTGCGGTCCGTCTATCTCGCGCGTGATATAGCGACAAATTATTTATTACAATGGCGACTTTTCAGTTGAGTTTAGGGCGTATAAAGTTACCTATAATATGTTGTATAAAGAAGTAGAGTATTTGCATCTATTATGCCGCGGCCGAACGATCTGTTTGATGTTATCGCGAAAAATGCTCGTCAAAACTCGATTTCTTGTCGGTTTAACCATTATTACTACGATAACAAAGGTATTAACCATATTACTATTATATACTATTATTATTGAGAAATGAGAATATTAAACAAAATAAATGCGTGAAATAATATTTAATAGGGTGTGGATTATAAAATGCAAATTGCATTGTTTTCTGAATGTCCTAAAACAATGGTTTCCAAGCACAAAATTCATTTTATATATCAAAATATTATAACATGAAACTTTTTTTGCATTTTTTGACATTTTTAGGTTTTTAAGGCATTTTTTCGGCCACTCGCAAACTTTAAAATGCCATTAGAAATTTATTAGGCATTAGTGTTTTCATTGCCTCCTGAAAAAAAAAAAAATTCATATTTCTATTTTTTAGATGTACCTTTTATAGATTTGCTGATTCTGCCAGATAAATACGATGCCAGCTGCAATAAAGAACACGATTTATCGTTATAATGTATATCCGTGTTACACTATTTGCACTGTTATGTTTTTCTGTCATGTATTCACTGTTGTGTCAAATGTTTTTTTAAACTTTTAAAATAATTTGTAGAGAAATTTTTAGCCCTTTTTTTTATTTAAGTGTATTCAATTGTCTTTTTTCTGTTTTTTAGAGTATTTAAATCCACACCCTATACAATAAACTAACAAATCGCTCGTCATTTCGCCCTTTAACTCGACCATACTGAACGTTGTACGTTATAATTGTCATGACTACAATATTATACCTATTATATTACGCGAGACAGACGGAGAAAACAAATTACGTATTTTATGTATACTATTAAATGGATGCGCCATTTCTTATTGTAATGGGTCCGCGGTCAATGAAAATGCCTCGCCGTGAACCAGTTTATTTTTTTCTGTGCACCGTTAAAACCTATTTATATATACTGTTGTATATTGTAAAATAATAATACGATGCGCCGTACACGACGATGTACTTACGTGCATAATATTATTATTATTATTGTATACTCACGCTCACGGTTAGAAAGTGATTACGCGGAGATATAATACAATAATTCTGCAGGTAGGTGCCTATATACGGTATTCGCGCGGTATTGCGTCGCGAAAAACATCGTTTGACGGGCGCGCGCGTCGTTGTAATGTCGCGGCGGCCGAGAGCCGTGTTGAATAACGCGCAAATTCGTATTGTTGTTTTTGTTGTTGTTGTTGTTGTTGTTGTTGTTGTTAACATCATGTTGTGACGGTCGGGTCGAAAAAACGAAACGTAAAAAAAGAAGGTCGCGCGATGGCCATTGGTCGGACGGCCTGGTTCAAAGAGATAGGTCCGAAGCAAAGCGCCGGTACCCGCGACCCCGCCCAGCTTTCTTCGGCGGCGGCCGCGGTGTTTCTCCTCCCCGCGGGCGCCCGATTGGCGGCGTTTTCTGTGTTGACAATTTAACGGACGGCGAAAAAAAAAATATAATAACATTACGATGGAATTTTTTTTTTTTTAAAAAAAAATTATACTCGCCTAATATTATAATAATCGTATGTATAACATACCGCGAGATATTCGAAACGACACGCTTCGTGGACATAATACAATGTTTTAACGTCCAATACTTCAATATGTGTTTCAGTAACGGCGACCGACGTTGATCCTTTTGTAAATCCGAAAATCACCGATGACATCTAACCGCAGCTTTATCACTCTCGCCTTGTTTCCGAGTCGGCCGATGAGCCGTGACGGACGATTAGACGTGATTGTTATCTCATTCATTCTACTGCGATAACCGATAACGTTTATTTTTAATATATTTATTATCCGCACTATTTTCATTTCATGCGATAATCGCGTCTCTTTCATTATAATATTTAATTTGATTATTTCACGCGATTTCTATAATCAATGACATTATTATAGAATGCTTGAATTAATTTAAAGCCTCGAATACGACGTTTTACATTATTTTGATTTTATAGTTGGACTAATCATTAATAGCGCTTTTTAATTCATTACCTTTAGAACCAGACGAACGTAAGTCCAACAATTATTATTCAGATTATTAATTAGATTTTTACCATTTTTTTACATGTAATATATGTTTTTCATCGTCCCGTGATAACGGAAGTCTGTTAAAAATACTCCTTCCACAATTACTCGGGTTATATGAGTGTAAGACGTAAGTCCTGATATATGGAAGGAAACATGCCTTTTTTTTAGTTCCTTTGATAAAAAAATAATGTGATTTACGTCGTCTAGTTCTGAAGCACAGAATTGATAACCGAATTTATTCTCCAAATATTCAATTTACAATTGTTTATCTATTTATGTAAATTATGTTGACAATAACACTGAGAAAACGATGTTCCCTAAAGGCCATAATGTCTTAAGAACTATCGAAAAATATCCAAAAACGCCAAAACTGCTATACAAATGGAATAAACCAGCGAAAAATGTAAAATAATAGTTTCACTTATTATTGTTACTTTTTTGAGCTAGATATTATAAAGACGTTATCAGAACCATTAACAGAACGATTGCCAATCTTTATTGATGAAGAATACCTAAAATCTATTTCTTAAATCAAATTTCACGAAAACAAATGTTTTGAAATAATATTTCAAATTATCTAAGTTTAAACTATTAATTCGTGTACATAAATTTATAAATTTAATATGCATTTACATTCATCAAAATTACTGGGAAATGCTAAAATATGCTCTGAAATGAAAAAACAGCGAAAATGCAAACAATATAAAAGTTTCACATTGAAGTACCTGTTACATAAATCGAATTTTGTTCTTGGTAATCATTGTCATAGATCAACCCAAACAAATTTGTATTGGAATCTGGATCCTATTAATGACAATTATGAATATTTTCACTATTGTAACAATATTATAAATGTCGTGTTAATACTTAAAACGACTAGAGGGATAGGAGGAGGGCTAGACGTCTCTTTATAATAGTAAAGATCATACAATTTTGTCACCAAAATGAACGGTGCATTTTTTTTTTGTGAGGAGGTTTTATTATACAAATGGACATAGAGTAAAATCCATTGGCGACACTCTGCAGTAGAGTAGGTACTAGTGAGTGTCCACTAGAAAATAAATGGTAAATGATTGAATGATTTGAAGCAGATTATGTAGGTATAAATGTATTATATATACATTATATTTTATATAGGTAATATTCTAACTGATAAGGGGAAAAGGGTTACTGTGGAAAAGTACTAAGTTAAGGGAAGGTTTCGGTGGTCGTGGAGATTTTTAAAGGAGGGGGCAGTAGATATTTACCAAAAAAAAATGCCTAGAAAACGATCAGTCGTGTACTTAATATAAAAAATTGTGTCGGGTAATTTTTTCACACAGAGTTACTCAACGCGAGAGTTTGCACATAAATACGTAATACACAACAACTGAAAATCAAACGATTTGAAGAGGACGCAACACCGGCATTTCCGCTGTCCATCTGATAAGCAACATATAGTAAACACGTGATTTTTTCGTATACTTTCAGTAGTAACCACTAATCAAATACTTAACAGACTTAAAAAGTGAAAATATGTTCACTGAGTTCAACATGACATTTACTATATTCTGTTCGTATAAGGATTGTTTGATGGCAGTAGATACCTTTTATAATGGCATCGGTTGTAGTGGCATATTTAATGAAGTTAAATTGAAGGTGCTGGCAAACATATACTGCATATTCTATGTATACTGATTTGTATCGATTATTACGATGTCTGTAGGTATAATAATTAATGCCCATACAGATGTATTATAACGGTTATTTTTGGTTATAAGGAAAAATCTATTATCTATAATGACTTAATTAAACTTTTATCTTAGTTGATAATTTTATTCAATTCAATGTAAATTTAATTTTAAAATAATAAAACAACTTTTTTCCTCTGAGTATTGAAGTTAAAAATATCACACATCTATTTGAATACAATATTATGTTCATTCATTAATTATACATATACATATTAGGGCAATCCTAGTTTATAAACATTATAATTTTCAATTCTGTACCTTCCCCCCCCCCAAAAAAAAACGTTTGCTCGTTACCATGAAAATTGATTTTATGTTAAATTTGGTCATGACAAACCATCCCCGTCCCGTGGATTGAAAAAGTCCAAATGGGGATCGAGCAATCAAAAACAAAAAAGGACGGACATACTTTGTACGTGAGTGCAGCCACTGTTGTAGGTGGGAAGTTGGGAAGGTAGGATACAGATGAGAATTGAATATATATCTGTAAGCAACGATAAACACTGTGAACGAAAAAAAATTCTGAGTGGAGTTCAGTTTTTGTCAACAATACAATGTATGATATATGTCATATTATGGTTAAATGATTACAACGATTGTTTAAAAAAGATTAAAAACTTAATGATAACAAAAAATTAATAAAAACGGTTACTAATGACAACCTTATTTTTAATCTTTCAATCTTTTTTAATCTAAAGACCCAGGTTTTCCTCATTATCTCGAATATTAATGAGAATTTCAAAAAATGACCTCTTTAAAGTACTACCCAGAGAAAATTTTCTTTCAGAAAAAGTGCTATACTTGATAATTGAAGTATGCTTCTGGCAGAAAAAGTGTTCACATAAAAATAAATAATAATAAACATCATTGTAAAACCAATACATTATGGAGTCGTTTAAGCTTTATTTTAAAACCATTTTTAATTTTACCCCTATTCCTTGTACTTTAAATAAGCACATACTTTTGATTTTCAAATAGTAACCTTCCCTTTTGAACATAGATGTAAATAGAGAATATTTTTCTAGACATTTTGTTGTACATAACACTAATATCAGATTTACCGATTTTAAGTTATAACAGTTTAAAGTTTAGACGGGAAGAGTAAGGAAGGGTAATAGATTGCCTATCTTTAACCCTTCCCGGTTTTAAAATAAAGCTTAAACGATTTCATAATGATTAGAAAAAATATAAATCAAATTCACTTA